CACTTAGGTGACTGAGCGTTGGAGATGGAATGCAGTCTATAGACTAGTCACGAGATTATGACCTTGTGAGCTTACAAAGGTTGGAAGAGCCACTGGAGGGCCAGTAGTCAAGCTTCAGCAGGAGTCAGTCCTGAGGAGCAACTTGTTTGACTCAGCCCATCAGTGAATCTACCCATTAGTGGAGACAGCACATTCTGCAAGTACAAAAGCATCTCACTCAATAGTTAAGCACTTAGCACAGTGCCTGGCACATAGTAGGTGTTTAATAAATATTTATAGATTGATTGGTTGGTTATATGGAGGCGAGGGTTGGTGGAAATAAGCGTAGAGGCTATGATCTTATCAAAGAAATTATTGGTAACTTTGGAGAGAACAGTTTCAATGGAATAACAAGGTAGGAAGTTAGATTGCAGAAGCATTAGAAGAGAGGAAAGTCATAGTCTAATATAGTATAGTCAGCCTTAAGAAGAGGAGATACATAGGATTAGAGAATCTAGTGTGGTTTTTTTTTTTAAGCGTAAGTAAGACTTGGTTGTGTTTGTAGGCAGTAGGGAAACAGTCAGTAGATAGGGAGAGATGGAAAATTGTGGGGTGTGGATGATGTGGGACATTCTGTTGAAGAGGAGAGGAGGGAATGGGATCAAGGGTATGTACAGAGAAGGTTTGGCTTTGGCAAGGAGAAGTGCCACCTCATCATCAAGGATTGAGTAAACGAGATAGTAGGGGATGATATCAGAGGTACGTGAGATGAGAAGGAGGGAGAGAGATCTTGTCGAATGGCCTCAATTTTTTCAGTGAAGTATGAGGCAAAGACCTCTAAAAATCCCTTGTAAGAGGAGATGTAAGAAGACAGACATGCTAATTTACTACTGATGGAGTCGTAAATTGGTTTTACTATGCTGAAAAACAATTTGAAATTAGACATAGGTTAAATTGTTCAAACTCACCCTGAGATTCCAATGCTGAGACTCTGTCCCAAAGAGGCTATTGACAGCCAAAAAAAAAAAAAAAGACACACATGTACTAAAATGTTCATAGGAGCATTATTTGTGATAACAAATAGTTGGAGACAAAAATAAATGACCAACAATTGGGGAATGACTGAACAAATTATGTTCTACAGGTACAATGAAATATTACTGAGATGTAAGGAATGTCAAAGCACCAACCTAAACAAATTGCCATCTTTCCATATTTATATTTCAACTTATTTGGGACAGAAGTAGTAAAAGGGAAGAAAAGATGATATATTTTGTTCATTCTGAATTGTGTCAATTATTTAAAAAAACTTGAAAACAAGATTTGAAAGTAAGATGCTCTGTACTATAGAATCAATACAGTTTTCAGGTATTTCTCAAAAATTCTTTTATGCTCTTAAATAAATGGGATAAAACAAAAGTTCAGAAGCCCAGAAATAAATAATATAGAATAGATTCTTGGTATGGTTTATCTGTATTTTTATGTAAGCTATAAATGCTGAGGCTGGCTGGGGGTAGGGGTGGGGGTGGAGGTGAGGACAGGTGTATCTATACCCAAACTGCTACAATTTGACATCACAAGGATACCAATGGAGCTCAAGGGCTGTCTATCACTTATCCCCATTTGTCATGATATAACTAACCCAGCTTTTCTTCAGTGACCCTTTACTTGTGGTATCTTGCAGCTGTTTATATCATATACCTCTTTATTGCCTTCCAGATTGTCTTCAATTCCAGTTCTTTGGCAGTGTAGTATTCTATGGTTTTCAGACATACATCAGTACCACCAGTGGGATATTGACATTAAAAAGATGAACATGTTCCAGGGAGAAGTTGGGGGTTATGAAAAGAATTTGGCAATTTTCCAAAGGCAATCTAGCCTGATTTCCTCCTATTGTTCAATTCTGAGACCAGCTAATTGTCCATTTATGGTATCTGTCCATAATAGGGAAACTAACAGAAGAGTTTTTTGGTTGTCCATGTGCCTTCATATCATAGTCTGGACAATAGGTATTCTTTATCCACTTGGTTTTTGCCACGTAGAAGATTGGGCGAAACTCTGAAGTGATTATGGATCTCATCCAGAATGCTTTTCAGTGTTTGGGGGCTTTATGCAACCATTATATTATTTGCAAACAGTAGCATCTGGAAGCCTTCATTAGCTATAGGAAATTTCATGGTAGTGGGGAAAAACTTTGGTGAGCATATATACCCCTGTTTTATGCCTTTGATAGTAATGATCAGATAATACAACAAGGTTATCTCTATTGTTTTATATTCAAGGAATTGTATGTAATTCTCACTTATGCATAGGAGACACCCTTGTTGGAAACGCCCTACTTTTTAAGATTGGAATTTTTTTTGTTTTGTCTTTGTATCTTCTGTTATTTAGCAGAGCATCTTGTATGTAGTAGTGATTAATAAATGCTTCTTGGTTGGGATAATTATGTGCCTTTCAGCTTTAAAAAAATCTATCTAGATGTCAAATATAGTTTAACTTTACTTTATTGGGGGGGAGGGTGTTGTTGAGGATAATAAAATGTAGATACAAGTAAGGCAGAACACAGTCAAGAAACTAGAGAATAGACTTTAGTCCCTAAGTGGGTAAATTTGATTACTAAAACAATACTTCCTCAGGGAAGTGCTCAGTCGCAAAGAGGGAAGCAAATGTGGGCAAGAGTGGAATAGCAAGAACTCAGGCCAAGCTCTCTGGAGAAATGTCAAATATCTCAAAAGTAGTACTACTTCTTTCTCTAATTCATTTTCACCCTCTTACAGTTGGTGTTTGCCCTACCATTCCATTAAAATTGCTTTCTCAGATATTTTCCTTTGGATGCATACTCAGCCAAACCAGTGATTTTTTCTGTGGATTTTCCGCTCTGTACTGCCATATTTGACTTTATTGTGAGGCCAAAATCTTGTCAGTTTCTTATTTGCTTACTAGTCTGCCTGCTTAACTTAGCCCTAGTCCACTAGTGAAGGGGAAGTCCCATTTAGGAGCGTATCTCTCTCTACTCCAGGCACACTGTTGTTTGGCATTTCCCCTGAAAGAAAATACACATTGGGGCTGCTACAGAAGCAATCCCTTTCCCATCAGCCCTACATGGTACAATTAACTCATTGGTTTTGCTCTCCAAGTAGAATGCTACTCAGGAGTTAAGTGAGTGATAACTCTTTTTTTTCTCTAAGAGTACAGTTTTAGGAAATGACCAAAGCACTGATCCCAAAACTAAAACTTTGAGAACTGTCATTCTTTGGCTAGAAGGCTAGATTTTGAGATTACATAATCAGTCCGGAGAATTCCCCTCCTCTCTCTCCCACCCTCACCTGCCACATAAGGGTCTGAGGTTGATGAACATTGCCCATGAATTGTCTGAGTAAGCACACAAGTCTGCCTTTGACATCTGCTTCTACAGGAAATCTATCAGTAAGCTGTTTGCTGTCACCTTGGGTTGAAAATGTAGCCTCTTCTTTTCAGCTGCCTGCAAAAATATACAACTTGTCTCTTTTCCAAGACAGTCATTTCTAGTTCCTGGGTACAGGAAATAGTTTTCCTTCCCCCTAGAACCATGTCTGCTTTTCTATGCACTAACCTATCTTCTGGATGGGAGAATGCAAAAAGAATGCCTGAAAAGAGTGAGCTGTTGGGTCTATCAACTCTTTTTTATTATTGTTGTTGTTTGTCCTTAGTTTCAGAAGAGGACCAATGAGATCACTGGATGATATCTTGACTGGTGCTTGAATTGGATTGAAGTGAGGCAGAGTCGATAGACAACAGAGAGCAAAAAGCTCCTTCTACAAGAATCAGTCTTCTTAAATTCCAGGTAGCCAATCATCTTGGCAGCAGCTTCAGGTACTGGATATAGTTCTGAGTCCTCCAAGTAAGCTACTAGTGGGTATGCCCACACTCTTCTTGGAGAGGTCCTAGTAAGATTTCTCTAAAGGCTCACGCCTTGAAATTTTATGAAGTTGATGAGTTGGGGAAATATCAAATTGATCAGGGACTCCTAATCACCTTCTCCCACATACTCATGTTTTAATTCACCTATTTCGTAAATTTATACATCAACATATCTATAAATATCTGTATCTATATGTCATGTCAATGTTAGGCTTGGGTTTGCTTATGCTTAACCTTTTAGGCAGGGTTATTTTGTTTTAGGGTAGAACCAAATTCCAAAATGAAGCTTTCCCAGAATTTAAAACCACATTCATCACTCCCCCCACCCCCCCCAAAAAAACAAAAAACCTGGAACTCTGACTTACTGTAGTCCCACCTATTTCCACCACATACAGACACTTAGAAAGCAGTTGTTTGGCTTTTGGCCAGAGGTGTACTCTAAGTGGTCATGAGTCAAGTATGGTTTCCCAGAACTAGGAAGCTAGTTCCAGTGGCAAGATCTAGCCTAACTCGGGGAACAGAGGCCTGAATTTTGCAGGCCAAATGATGAGTTCTCACCAAGGAGTGGAAAAGTCCTTAGGCTGGTAAACCAAGTGACGACAAAGCACTCAGCAGCCTGCTCACAAGCGTAGTCCCATGGATACAGGACAGACTTAGAAGGTTTTGGAGGTATCCAGCCCCCTAAACCTGAGCTCGCAGGACTGTCTCTGTGCCTGTGATTAACCCCTTGCTACTCGGTAAAAATTATAGAGTCGCCATCTTGTGATCACGTCTCAAGCTAGACTCCCTAAGCTTCTTTCAGTAACCAAGGTGACATATGCACTTCCGCTACCCAGAGACTGGAAAAACTACATTTCCCATGAGTCCCTTTTCGTACTCGCAGGGAAACAGTGCAGCTAACCCAGCGCAGGGATTGGCGGGTGTCTCAGTTCCCCTCGTTGCCCCGCCCTCTGCCGCGGTCAGGCCGAGAACTACCTATCCCGTGAGCCCTCGGGCCCGCGCTTGCGTGCGGCTGAGCCCGTTCTCCCTAGCACCCCTGTCGGTGTCGGGAGAGGTAGGGAGAGGGCGGGGGGAAGGAAGAGGAGGCGGGATTCGGGAGCTGCGCTGGCTGCGGCCTGGCACGAAAGGGGCGGCCCTGGCGGAGCTGTGAGACCCAGCGGCCCCCGGTGACTATGGACCCGGCCGAGGCGGTGCTGCAGGAGAAGGCGCTCAAGTTTATGGTGAGGAGAAGGCGCGGGCCGGGGAGCAGCGGCGTTAGCGGCGGCGGCGGGAGTAGCAGCCGCGTCGTTCTCGGCTGCGGCTTGGGCCTGGGCCGCTCGCCTGGCGAGGGGGCAGCGAGTCTGGGGTCCGGGGGCGGCAGCGGCGGGGGCGACGGCAGCAGGACGGGTCCGGGCAGGCCGGGAGCGGGGCGCCTGGGCCCGGGGGGTCGGGAGTAGCAGCTCCGCCATCTTGTGGAGGAGAGTCCCAGTGACAGCGGGGTCCCGACGGAGGGGGGCTGCCAGTGGCGCGCGGGGCGACGGAGGGGAAGGGGAAAGCGGGCCAGTTCCTGGGGAAATGAAAGGTCGTGGAGGCTGGGCCGGGAGCGGGCAGGGGCCGTTGTCGGTCCTGCGGCGCCGGCAGCTCTCGGCCGCTGCGGGGGAGGACAGGTATTTGGGGGCCGAGTGCGGGGCGAGGTGGGAAGGGCCGGACGCCAACGGCCGAGGGGCTCCCGGGGCTGGGGCGGGGGGCCGCTGGAGACGAGGGCACCGGGACTGAGCCAGCGAAAGAGGAGCCGAGGGACGAGTTGCTCTCCTGCTTTGGAACGGACGGGGGGGGGGGGGGGGGAGGGGGCGCTAATATTGTAACAGAACAAGTTGATCATCTGTAAGTAGTGGGACGGAATTGACCAAAACAAGGTTGGGGGCAGGGAAAGAAGGAGAGTTTAGAGACTACTCAGGTTTGGGGCAGTCTCAGAAAGGACTGGGTCGTGGAGAGTCTCCATAAGTGTTACAGAGTGAATTAGTGAGATGGGAATGCGGGAGTGGAGAGGGAGTGGGAGATGCTGAAGAAAAAGGAGTGGGACATTGGAGTGGGAAAAGTGATATTAGATCTCTTTACCCATTAGAGAGTATGGGATATGGGGTTCTTTGTTTCATATTTCTTTAACTTTGTGTCATACTTGTGCTTTGCTAGTGTTTGGTTAATTTTGAGTAAGTTTAGCTTTTGAGGCTTTTAATCTGATTGCGTTTGGCTGTCCCACGTACAAAACTTAAGATGTTGACATCAGACTTTGTAGTTACTGCTGGCGAGTGATAATGGAAAAGAATACACCTAGACTTTATCTGAGTTTACCAGTTGGTCTTTAGGAAATCAATACTATTTACATAAGTTTCTAATTTCTCCAGAGTTGAGTTTGGAATAATGATAGCCCCTAACCTCATTCTTTGAATGAAGGGTTGGTATTTCCAGTGTTGTTGCCTGGAATACAGTAACTGCTACAAACTAAAATAACTACTAAGTTAAGTTAATATTAGGCCAAAACAATCTAACTGTTTTGTTTCCAAGAATGCATTCTAAGTGATTTGTAACATTTGGTGAAAGTTCATTTGATGGGAATAAATACTTGTACTCATCAGAATTAAAAATTTTTTAAGAACATAGAAATCAGTTGTTTGAAGTGTTTCTTTGAATTAATACCCAAAGTTTAAATACTATATCAGGTATACAAGTCTTTGATTTAAGAGGTAGCATAGGGTAGTGAAAGTTAGAGGTTATCGAAGTCCTGGCTCTTCTGCTTACTACCTATTTGACTTTGGGCAATCCCATCTGTATACAGAGAAAAGGTTGGACTAGATAATACCCAGTCCTCTTTCGATTCTAAATCTATGATCCATTTTATTTTTACTTTACAAGGTGGGAATTATTCATATACACATATGGAGAGCTTCTAGTTTTTAAAGTTGGTGGTCACTTTCTATTTTCTTCTTAGAGGATAGAATCTTTCTATCAACTTAAGACATTTTTTACCAGATTTATGAAATAATATAATTTATAGATCACAAACACATATTATGAGATCATCTACTTTAGACAGCAGTTCAAGAACATTCTCTACTACTTGGTCTCAGTTGTATACCAAGGACTTAGTCATGTTTGAGTTGTGCCGCCTGAGTTAAGTTAAACTTATAAATCAGAATTAGAGTTGACCATATCTTATTTTATACATGTCAGGGTGCCTTATAATATTAAGATCGTGTCACTTCCCATAGGGATAATGAGCTCTATGGACAACTTCTGATACTTTTCTTTTGGCACTACCAGTCATAGCTTTTGTCTGAAATGAAGCCCAAGTGGTCACCCAGAGAGATAATAGAGACATGTTTTAAATGCTAGAGCAGACAACTGAGATCTAGACATTTAGTGTTCCAGTTGAGGTCTGTAGCAGTCTTTTACATGAATCTGGGTAAGTCAACTTCTCTTTGACCTCATTTTCCTATTTATGAGGTCTTTGTTTACTTGTGTTAACTTTTGAGATCTCTTAGTGACTCTTTGTGTTTACAGAATCTTGAAGAATGTGAGTATATTAGATATGAACTTAATCACCAGTGTTCTGCGCACAAGAATTAGAGGGAGCATTCCATAGAAGAGTCAGAAGACCTGACTTCAAATTTTTGCCCTGTCATCTACTGTGGACCCTTGGGCTAGAAGTCACTTTTTGAGCCTCACTGTCTTTATGTGTAAAGTAGAGCTAGACTAAATCTCTGAGGTGTCTTTCAGCCCAGAAATCCTACAGTTTCTGTGTTGTCACTTTAACTTTGAGTGATGCACAGTGCTTGGCATAAAGTAGATACTTAATAAATACTTCTTGACTTGAGAGGAAGGATAGTTTAAGCACAGATGAAAGACAGTTTCACACTGTGTTAGCTAAGAAATTTGTTACTCCAAAAGAACTGAAATACAAATAGATTCAAGAAATGTTTAGATAAATTTATGGGTGATCTATACTGTGTTGTTTAGAATATATTATTAAATGTTTGGAGGACACCTGTAACCTTGTGAAGTTAAAGCCAAGAACAACAACCACACTATTCCACAAAACATCTCTGATGGCACCATCAGAATATTGGTTTGTGTGTGTTTTGGGCATAATTTAAATTCAGTGAGACTGTCTTATTCTTCCCTGTTATCTCCTGCATGGTGTTTGTTTCTCTCAATCAACGAGGCTGACTGACTGTGAAGAATGTTTATTGACATTGGTAGCGATAGTAGCTAGCATTTATATAGTACTTTGAAGCTTGCAAAGTGTTTTACAAATATCATTTTATCTAATCCTTACAACAATCCTGGGAGGTAGGTGCTATTATTATTCGCATTTTACGGATGAAGAAACTGAGACAGACAAAGGTTAAGTGCCTTGTTTAGGATTACACAGCTAGTCAGGATCTGAAGCTGGATATGAATTTGGGTTTTCCTGACTACAGGTTCAACACTCTATACACAGAGCTACCTAGTAGTCTCAAATACTCTTCAATGGGTAATCAGTACATAAAAAGAACCTCCTTTTAACTAAAATTTATTTACAATATCTAGATTTATTCTTTCCTCCCTCATTCCTTTTCCCAAATTATGAATTATTTCAGACCACTTTTGCACAGATTTTGTAGTTTGCATATTTTAATAGTTAAAATTTTGCCCCAAAGGTAAAAATGAAATTTTTACACAAATGTTACACACATGTTAAACTATGAACATATTTTAGAGAAGATTAATTACAAGAAAACTTTATCTGTGTTCCTGATTTTGAATTGGTTGTGCCATATCTGAGATCTAGGCTGAGGTTCAACTTTGCTTCCTTTATGAAAGAGATGAATATGAATGCCAGAGATGAATAATATAAAGAAGTTTATAGAGCACAGGTTTAACCCATTTAAGGAAACATTGTTTTAAAGCACATTAGAAGTACTAGATTATATCAAACATAATGGTTTTGTTAGGAGTCATTGTCTATTGATCATAGCAGATCCCCAGGTACTTTTGTCCACAATTTGTTAGAGGAAAAAAGATCCCTTTAAGATATATATAACGGACTGGAAAAGTTCCAAAGAAGGACAGTTGACAAAGGAGTGTGAGATCATTGATTTAGAGCTGTAAGGGAACTTGGAGTTCATAGAATCTATCTTTGTGGCCTCTCACACCCCTTATTTTACAAATGAGAAAGTTGAGTATCCTTTAGTGTTTAAGTGACTTGGGTCATACAGCTAGAATGTGTGCTTGAGGTGGGATTTGAAAATAATCAAATAAACAAAGGAAGTGCTTTATGAGGACAAACTTTTTAAAAGTTAGGCCTGGAAAGACATGGGCTAAGAAAAGGTTAAGATTGACTTTTTAAAAATTGTGCAGGTTATGAATAAGGTGATGAAGAAGTTCACTAAATCCCCAAACATTGAACTAGAAATACTGCTTAAAGCTTGAATGAAGTCATTTTAGGACAAGTAGAACATGTATATAATTAGGGCAATTATCACTCCAAGAAGTAATAAAGATATAAAGAAATTCAAGAAAGATTTAGATAAATTTGTGGCTAACTAAACTCTAATGGGATATTAGGGATATTAGGAATGTTTTGTAATCTTTGTTGGTTGAGGCCCTGAAAAGCAGCCATGCTCTCCTCCATATCTTTAGTTCCATTATCAGAGGGGATACTAAGATTAGTGGATTTCTGCTGTGATGTCCATTCTATGAGGATAGGGACCTTTTTTTAGGTGTCTTTGTATTTTTAGTGCACAGTAATTTGCATATACGGGGATCAAATTACTTTAAAGACAGCAATGATGGTTACATTTTGTTACAGTAGTGGTCCTTCAGGTGTGCTTTTACTGACAACAACCACTTAGAAGCCTGACCTTAACCAGATGAAACTAGATTGAACTCTTTCCCTCACTTAAGTTACTTTTCTGTCAGTTGAGGGATGGATTTCGTTCCATACACACAGCATTTTATTGCTTTGTTCAGTTGTAGTTTGAAAAGTGTGGTTTTTAAAAAAATAGATATTACTCCAAGGAGACATGCAAAAGTTGTGGCTTTTTTAATGAGCACACTTCAGTGACTGTTGGAGATATTACAGCTGCTATTGGTGTGGGTAATTAAATCCTTTCAGGGATTAGTCACACTCATAGCGAACCAGGTTGCATGCGACTGTAAAGGAAAGGGGAATGCAAAGGAAAGTACTGCAGAAAATGAA